CTTATTGAGCTATTATAAACACAGTCTGATGATTCTTTATTTCTCTCCCTTCTTATTCCTCCTCCTCCATTCTTCATATGTTGGGTGTTTTGTTCTATGCTCTTTTTAGGAGTGCTCCCATCTAAAATACCCTGTAGATGTGGTTTGTGGGAGGCAAATTCCCACAACTTTTGCTTGTCTGCAAATTGTTTAATCCCTCCTTCATATTTCAATGATAATCGTGCTGGATACAGTGTCATTGGTTCAATGCCCTTCTGTTTCATTGCATTAAATATATCATGCCATTCTCTTCTGGCCTGTAAGTCTTCTGTTGAGAAGTCTGATGATAGCCTGATGGGTTTTCCCTTGTAGGTTACCTTTTTTCTCTGCCTGCCTTTAATACTCTGTCTTTGTCCTTGATCTTTGCCATTTTAATTATTATGTGCCTTGGTGTTGTCTTCTTAGGTCCCTTCTTTTGGGAGTTCTGTGTGCTTCTGTAGTCTGAGCACCTATTTCCTCCCCCAGTTTGGGGAAGTTCTTGGCTATTATTTCTTCAAAAACAGTTTCTATCCCTTTTCGTCTCTCTTCTTCTTCTGGTACCCCTATAATGCGGATATTGTTCCTTTTGGATTGCTCACACAGTTCTCTTAATATTGTTTCATTTCTGGAGATCCTTTTATCTCTCTCTGCATCAGCTTCTATGTGTTCCTATTCTCTAGTTTCTAGTCCATTAATGGCCTCTTGCATCCCATCCATTCTGCTTTTAAGTCCTTCCAGAGATTGTTCCATTTCTGTAGTCTCCCTGTGTACTTGCTCCTTTAGCTCTTGCATATTTCTCTGCAGATCCATCAGCATGTTTATGATTTTTATTTTGAATTCTTTTTCAGGGAGACTGGTTAGGTCTGTCTCTGCAGATCCTCTCTCAGGGGTTTGCTGGACTATTTTGGACTGGACTAAATTTTTCTGCCTTTCCATGGCTGTAGGTAGGTTGTGGGTGTGTCAGCTGGGAGAAGAGTGTCGTTTCCTGCTTGCTGGATGCCTTGCCCTTCTCCACTGCCTGTGTTGGTTACCCGCACTCCTGGAGCAGCCACCAGGTTAATCCCCTAAGCTGCTGTGGGCGGGGTCTCCATCAGAGCAGTGCAGAGCCCTGTGGGGATTGGCAGGCACCCCATGTGTGCTCCTTCATGATAGCGGTGCCCCTGCTGGGCAGCTGTGTGCCAGTAGCAGCCTTTGGGTCTGGCTCGGGCGGCTGTGCATCGGGCTGGGATTCCGGTCGGCCGCTGGGAGCACGGCTGCTCCCTCTGGCACTGTTGCAGGTGCATGTAGGCCTTGCAGCTGTTTTTATAGAATCAACAGCCATGTAGTGCCTACAGGTGTTCAATGAGCTAGTCAACCACAGACAGGTCAGAATCCTGGCAACAGGAACTCTCATTATCCACAGCACTTTTTTCTTGGTGAGACTAGCTAAAGGTTTGTCAGTTTTGTCTATCTTTTCAAAGTACCAACTCTCAGTTTCAGAAATTTTTGTTGTTGTCTTTTAATTCTCTATTTCACTGATTTCCACTGTGATCTTTATTTTCTTCCTTCTAGTAACTTTGGGCTTCTTGTTCTAGTTCCTTTAGCTGTAATGTTAAATTGTTTGATATTTCTTGTTTCTTGAGGTAAACCTGTATTGCTACGAACTTCTCTCTTAGAACCGCTTTTGCTGCATCCCATAGATTTGGCAGGTCATATTTCTGTCTTCATTTGATTTGTTTTGTGTTTTGTGACCTAACGTCATCTATCCCAGAGAATGTTCCATGTGCACTTGAGAAGAATGTATATGCTACTGATTTTGGATGGAACATTCCGTATATATCTACAAAGTTCATTTAGTATAATGTGTGAGCTAAGGCTGATGTTTCCTTATTGATTTTGTCATTGGACTAACTATCCAATTATGTAAGTGGGGTGTTAAAGTCCCCTATTATTGTATTGTTGTCTATTTTTCCCTTTAGGTCTGTTAATATGTGCTTTATATATTTTAGTGCTCCTATGTTGGTGTGTAAATATTTATTAATGTATCTTCTTGCTAGATTGACCTCTTTATTATATAGTATCCCTTTTTGTCTTTTTTTCTGTTTTAAAGTCTATGTTGTCTGATATAAGCATAGCTATACTAGCTTCTTTTTGTTTAGATTTTCATGGAATACCTTCTTCCCTCCCTTTTCTTTCAGTTTGTGTGCATCCTTACTTCTGAAGTTAGCCTCTTATAGGCAGTACACAGATGGGTCAGGAGTCCAGTTTTGAACATGTTAAGTTTGAAATACCTAATTGGACATCCAAGTGGACAAATCAAGTAGACAGGTAGACAAAGTTCTGCAGTCCAGGAAAGAAGTTCAATTGTATTGTGTATATATATATATATATTATATATATAATATATATACAATATATTTATATATTTGAAATATAAATAAATATATAAAAGTATATACATGTTTTTAGAGTCTTGCACACACATAGCATTTCATGCACTGAGGTTGGATGAGACAATCTTAATGAGTAAATCTAGACAGGGAAGAAGAGCAGAGTCACAGTCTAAGCTCCAGGTCACTTCAGTATGTACAAGTTAGGGAGATGAGGAGAGACCAGCAAAACCAACTGGGAAGTCACAGACAGAAAGGCAGAAAGTAAACCAGGCAAGTATGTTTATACTGGAAGTGTAAAAAGTGTTTCAAGGAAGGAGTGATTAAATGTGTCAAATACTGGTAATAGGTTAAGTAAAACTAAGACTGAGATTTGTTCATAAGATTCGGCAACAAGGAGGTCATTGGAGAGTTTAGGAAGGGTAGTTCTTGTGGAGGTGAAGGCAAGTATCTTTGAATAGGTTCAAGAGAACTAGAGGGGAGAAAGTGGAGATAATGGGTACAGGTAAGTCTTCTGAGAAATAGGATGATGGCTGAAAAGGAAAATGGGACCATGAAAGGGTTTTTTTCATTTTGGTTGAAGTTGGGTGAAAAGTGTGTTGATGAGAATGATCCAATAATAAAAGAAGAATTATTGGAGGAGTATATTAAGAGAGAGAAAAGATGGACTCTAGCACACAGGTGGAGGGAGTAACCTTGGCTAGTTCACACACGGTAATAGAAGAGAAGATGGAGTTTTGGGAGCAGATACACACAGGTGGGCTAATATGCTGGTGGGGGCTTTGGAAGTTCTTTTCCAATTTAATTTTCTTGAAATAGGAAATTAGGTTGTTAGCTGTGAGGATGAATGAGGAGGAGTAAGAAGAAAGAAGAAAATACAAAATGGTTGCCTTGGAGTCAGTTTAATTATTCAAAAGTTTAAGGTAATTATACATATTATCTGGCATAAAGCAAGAACAAACTTGATATCCCAAATTACAGTGGCATGTCCCACCATTAAGTTACACTTAGCTTCAATTCCTATACCTTCTATACCTGTGGTTGAATAACTTATATTTACTTTCACAGCCCTCTGGTAGTATGATAATCTAAAATTTCAAAGATCAAATGACATTCAGTACTTTGTCTTGAACTAGGCAGGAAAATAACAATTTAGAAAGACCTACACAGGTTTGAGGTAAACTTCAGGACACAACAAAAACAAAAAAGTTAAATATACAATTAAATACTACTTCCCAACATGGGAAACCATGGTAATAGTGCACCTATGCAAAGCATTGAGCAATACACCCTATGGCCAGAGGGATGGGATTCTTTCACTCTGTAAGGAGTTACACCTGTCACCTGACAGCACTGTTGGGTCAAACTTTTGTATTACCGTATTTAGGTCAAGAAATAAGAAAATGCAAAAGATTCTCTAGTACCTTTTCATCCAAGTCTGAAACTGTTATCTTTTCACTGAAGTCTCCTGACTTTTCATTTTCAGAGGTCTCATCCGTAACTTCTCCTAAAGAAATGTTTGTACCTTTGGAATCATGTTTTAACTCATTTGCTGAAAGAAAATAATGTTCAACTGTAGAAATTTTAAATGACAGTATAAGTAAGTCATTCAAAGACTGTTCTAAGAATCACTTAGAATTCAGAGACTCTTTTAAAGTCCAGTGTGACAAAATGTAGAGTTTTCAGCAAATTATATAATTATTCCTCCCTCTCTATCAAAATAACTCTATTATGCAGTATTAAAACAATTGGAAGTAAGACAAAATTATGGTTAGTACTACAAAAATTTTTGAAAGGATTCAGACTTACAGTGTGGTAAAAGTTAAAAATATTTCAACTTCAAAAATTGGGCTTAAAAAGTTGCTACCATTAATTGCCTATCTTTTATAGATAAAGCCTAACAAAATTGTTTAGTAAATGCCCTAATGGAAAATTTCTTGAAAACCTCATTTGCCAACCAGCCAATTAAAACAAAAAAACTGACAAACTGTGAAACATAAGGTTAACAGAACTCCCAAATGAAAAACTTCCTATTTTAATGAATTCATTTAGACTGGATATGAATGGACATATAAAAAGCTTCTTCAATATTGAGTATTGTGAAAATCTCAAATTTTACCTGCTGAGAAGGAAGCACAGATCTCTGACCTCATCAATCCAGGATCCAGTACAGGAGCCTCTCTATCATAAAGCAAACAGAGCTTAAACATTGTAACATATTCTATTCAGAACTGTTCTTCTAAACCTTACATAATACTAGCTTTAGCATCTAGTGAACATCAGCTCACGTCGTCAAGAGCAAAGCATTATCCTGGGACTCAGACACCAGCACCCCAAGTAGAGTCCTCATTGCTTCTGTAATTACAAATGCCACAACTGTGAGGAAATGGTGCTGGTCAAAATTTGTGACTCAGAGAACCTGATGATATATATGCCAAGCATTGTCTAGAAAAATTAAGGTATAACACCAATACAAGATAATGTTTAACTTATATTCTCAAGCATGAGTATGTATGTCTTAACTGCCATGTGAAAGGAAGTCAGTTTGACAGCAGTTGAGTCTTTTTTTTTATAGTCTTGTAAGACAACATATGACTGTCTGTTTTGTATTTTGTCTATCTAAAAGTTAAGGCTATGAACATCAGAGTTAGACCAACCTAGGTTCTACTGATCTGCCACTTGCTGTGTCAACTGTGGCAAAATTATTTAACTTCTCTGAGTCTAACTGTATATGTAAATGAGAAATACACCTACCCATGAATTCATTGTGAGATTAAATGATACAGGCTCAACAAATGCAAATTACATCTCTGGAAGATACCACAAAATAAATGGCCAAGTACTATCCCATTTTTAAAAACTTAGATAAAAATATATAAAAGCACACAGGAAATATAGTAAACAACCATAACCCTACCACTTACTCCTTTAATAAATGGGTTAAACCTATCCTACAACTCGGTAACTCATTGGCTCAGGTCCTAGGCAAGAAAGAGGGAAACTAAACAAAATATTTTATAAACCATTATCTTTGAAGTTTTGGAAAACATGAAATATTTTTTCCCACACCACAAACTCAAGAAACAATCAGAAGCATAAAGTATCAGTTTAAAGAATGGAAAAAATAATATAAACAGAAGACACAAAAGAAAACATGCAAATCTCCTCCTCCTATTCATATCTCTTTAAACTCCTATCTGTCTACTAGAGTGACTCCATTTCAGGATTTCAAAGGTCTCTCCAACTCAACATGTCTAAATATGGGAAACCAGGTATTATCCTTAACTTCTCTGGCCTTATCCCCATCTGATTCATCAATCTTCACTTTCTAAATCTCTCAAATCCACTCCTACTTCTGATTGAAGTCACTATGTCTTTTTGGTCAAACTATACAACAGCTCCATCAGTTTATTCTTCACAGTAGAGCTATAATGATTTTAAAAATGTAAATCTGATCACATTTTCTCTATACTAAAGCATCCTTCAGTGAATCCCTATGTGCCCTTAAGATGAAGTTCAAACTCACCATGAATTTTAGTTTATCTACGGTGGTCTGTTTATTCTTGTAATCCTGACATATTAGTTATAAATAGTTTCCCATTTACCCCTCAAATGTTTTGCAATTCAGAAGATAAATTCTATGGTCATCCTATTTGTAAAGTCCTCCATGACTGAGCTTTCTGCATATTCTGTACTTTCATTTATTGCCATTTGAACCCTAAGCCATGGGATGTTATTTCTGTTTCTCAGTTGTGGCATGCTCTTCCCTGTGGGCCTTTATATAGGCTATATCTTCTATGACAAAATTCTATTCACTTTTCTTCACCTATTGGCCAATTCCTACTCATTCTTTAGTGTTCATCATAAACGTCACTTTGATCAGGAAGCCTTTAAGATCTTGCACTTCTCCAATCACATTTTATTGTCCTTGCTTTACTTGCCTCCCTTGGCAGACTAAAACTTCTGTGAGGACAAGGCCCATCCATGTGTGTCTACTTGCTCTTCATATACTCAGCACCTAGCAGCCTCCTGGTCAGACACTAAGGACAACCAAATAAAGATGCTTCTCTTCTGTCTAGGAACTCCCACTATAAGGGGAAGCTCACATACTAGCAGACATAATATACTGAGATATGTGCCAGGAGAACTACTGGAACAAATCCCTAGAATAACATCTCAGATGAGATTTGAAGGTAGTAACTGAATGAAAAGAAAGGGACTTCCAGATGAAGACACATGTGAAAAGATTCAAGTACATGACAGATGGTAAAAACAGTGAGCTGCTTGTTGTACTTATCTTTTATTAACCTTCCACCCTACTTTTCTCTCCATCTATACCATAGCCACCATAGGGAATGGATATAGATCTACCAAGAGCCTTAAAAAGCCATGCCAAGCAATTTAGACTGCATCCTCATGTGGCTGAAAGCCACTGAAGCAATGTAAGCAGTCACTGGCAGATCAATCCTATTTCAGAGTATCACTATGGTGGAAGATGTGAAGAAAGCTCAGAAAGATTAACCAGGAGTCACTACAATAATAACATAGCAGCAAGAATTGAGAAGAAGGAAAAACCATGAGAAATATAATATAATAGCATAAATAAGTAATCAATAAATAGAGAATAACTGAGGGATTCTTCTGTATTTTCTACTTGCCCTGAACATTACATTCATAAACAGGACTTAGCTACAGACATAAATGACGTTATTCCTAAACACAAAACCAAAAAACCCAAAGAGCATAAATAGGTATAGCAAATATACTGCTTTAATTTCAAAGTACTAAAGTAGTATTTTTACAATGCTGAGTATATGGAGAGTGCTAAGTCTTTGGAGAGCAGCTAGACACACATATTGCTGCACACAGTTTATAAGTGTGAGAAATGTTTTACTACAAATAATTAACTTAAAGGAAGGTAAAATTGCAGGTACACCTCTTGTTAGAATTTAGTTTTGTTTTGCATATGAGACAGAAAGAGGTTAAATTCAGCTAAATTATAAAAAAAATTATACACTGAGGAGATTAAATATGATGGCATGAGAGGTGAAACAGAGACCCCCTCCTAAAACCACATATAATATGAAAATATAATCAATACAACTACCCCTGAAAGAGCAACAAGAAAGAAGACTGGGCCAGACTGCATACACCTGGGGAAAAGAACAGACCTCATGGAACATGGTAATGTACCAAAGACGTGACCCAAAGAGACCCAAGCCCTTCCCCAACCCCTGTTTACCAGCAGAACAGAAACGGAGCGGGGAGGGAGTGGAGGCCTATGACTGCTGAACACCCAGCCATGGAGAGCTGATCTGGGAGGACAAACCTACAATGCATGGTGGTCTGTTGATTATTGGGGTTCAAAAGCTAGGACAGGCAGAACACCTGGAGAAACTGAGATTCCAGCCGCTTGTGGAAAACGGATCCCTATCTGGCTCTCCTGGGTGGGCATTCTGAGAGATTTCCTAACAGTGAGAGGGCTGCTAAAGGGGCAGGGATTGCATATAGCTTACTACTCAAGAGAAAGGACAGGCAGACAAAATTATCCAGGTGCACTCTGCTCAGCAGGTTAGGAACTCTCAGGATCTTCAGGAGCTCCATCCCCAGGCTGGCCATGCAGCTCCAAGACCTCCCCTGTGATATGCAGCCTGCTGTGCCTTCATCCCAGCCAGCCTGCACCTGGTTCGCAAACCGGAAAACCCTACCATAGCATCAGACCAGCCAGAGGGAAGCCCTGTCTATAAGAGCTACAAATGTAAAGCGTAGAGGCTTAAACCTGTGTGTTTGGCCCATTGGTTCCAGCAGTGGAGACAGGCATAGCAACTGGGAAGCAGGAAACAGCTCTTCCCTCTCACCAGACACTAGCACTGCTCCCCTGCAATCCCTGACATTGCTCCAGGGGCTGAGCAACTCCGGAGAGCAGAGCTTCTGGGCACGAGAGGGCACCACATACAAATATGAAAAGTCAAAGGAACCTGGTTCAAACAAAATCCCACAAACACCATAAAAAGTGAGTACTGAAACTAAACTAATCAATCTCCTGAAACAGATTTCAAAAGAAAAAATCATAAACATGCTCATGGAAGTACAGACAAATATTAAAGAACTCAGGAACGAATTTAGGGACAGAGATCCAATGGTTAAGGAACACAATGGAGAGTTTTAAAAGCAGATTAGATACAGTGCAAGAGACAATGAATGAAATAGAAATTACAGAAGAGGAATACAAAGAAGCTGAGGCACAGAGAGAAAAAAGGATCTCTAAGAATGAAAGAATATTGAGAAACCTGTGTGACGAATCCAAATAGAACAATATTTGTATTATAAGACTACCAGAAGAAGAGAGAGAAAAACAGATATAAAGTGTCTTTGAGAAGGTAATTGCTGAAAACTCCCCCAATCTGGGGAAGGAGATAGTCTCTCAAGCCATGGAGGTGAACAGATTTCCCATCAGAAGGGATCCAAGGAAGATAACAGCAAGACATATAATAATTAAAATAGCAAAGATCAAGGATAGGACAGACTATTAAAAGCAGCCAGAAAGAGAAAAAAGATCACATACAAAGGAAAACCCATAGGCTATCATCAGATTTCTCAACAGAAATCTTACAGGCCAGAAAGGGGTGGCATGATATATTTAATGCAAAGAAACAGAAGGGCCTCGAACCAAGAATATACTATCCAGCAAGATTATCATTTAAATTGGAAGGAGGGATTAAACAATTTCCAGATAAGAAAAATCTGAGAGAATTTACCTCCCACAAACCATCTCTACAGTGTATTTTGGAGGGACTACTATAGATGGAAGTGTTCCTAAGGCTAAATAGCCATCACCAGAAGTAATAAAACCACAGCAAGGAAAGTAGAATAGTTAAGTACTAAGCATATGTGAAATTAAATCAACTACCCCAAAGACAGTCAAGGGATAGACAGAGAGTACAGAATATGATACCTAGTAAATATAGAATGGAGGAGAAAGATAAACGAGAAGCAAAAAAATAAAAAAAACCCTTTCCATTGTGCTTGAAATAGCATAGTAAGTGAGTTAAGTTAGCCTCTTAAATAGTAAGGAAGTTACCCTTGAGCCTTTAGTAACCACGAATCTACAGCCTGCAATGGCAATGAGTACATACCTATCGATAATCACCCTAAATGTAAATGGCTTGAATGCACCTATC